CAATGAGCGCATATTTGTCTTGCTCTCGCAACTTACAACTTTTGCAAAAATCCACATGCTCAAAATTTTTTATTATTATCTACAGTTTGCGCCGAACAGACATAGCCCCGGTTTTAACGGAAATCCGCCGATCTCGAGCAAGCTCTCATTCGCCGAACTGGGGGGACTAATTGTGGGATACGGGCTTTGCCCCCTATGACAAATTCGGCCCAAACAGAGATTGACTGAGTCAAACATGCTGCAAACAGGAGAAAACGGCCCATCAGAACAACGGCCCATCAAGCTCGCCAGCTCGGCCAACCAGGACGTCGGTTCGGCCCAACAGGACGTCGGCTCAGCCCGATAACACATCAACTCGGCCCATCGCGGTTCGGCCCAACCCGATAAATTCGGAAAGGTAAAAAGGAGAAATCGCAAAAGAGACAAAGGGAACCCTAGATCAGCTCCTAGGCTATAAATAGCAGGAAACACTGTTGAGAAGGGGGAGACCAAGAGTTATTATCCAGAGAATTGAAGAGAGAATTGTTGCCTAGCTCATTTATCTCTAACTTTCTGGTTTTCCGTTCTGTGTTCTGGTTCTCCGTTCTGTACTTACGGTTTTCTGTTCTGTAACTTATTGTTCTCTCGTTCTTCGTTACGGTAGTTTATTTGGTATTGGTTTGGTCTGCAGAAACTGGTACTCTAGATTGAGCCGGTTTGAATCGTTTCGGTTTGTTGAACGTGAAGAAAATTTGATGCTTCCACTACAAAAAAAGTCCACATTGATAGCACTAGACGATAGCGCATTTTCCCGAACTGCTATAATAGATGAGTTCGTGATTTTGGTTACCTTTTAATAGCACCTGATAAATGCTAAGACCGAAAATACTTAAGCGGGAAACAAAATTGACCTATACCGCCAACACTTAGAAAAAATTTATTCACTTAAGCGCCTTTTGTCTTTTATTTTCCCTCACACTTCGCGAAACAGAACAAAATCGCCTTTGGTCAGTCTTCTGAGTTTAACTCTCAGATCCACAAGTTCCTTCGAATCCCAGTGAATTCTGTCAAAACAAAATCGATTCCAAGCCTAGCCAAAACTACTGACCTTGTCGCCGGCCATAAAATCGTGCTCCTCCGCAGACACATTCTTCAGCTCCGCCGCCAGTGAGCTAAAATCGAAGGCAAGTGTTTCTTCCCTACTCTAATTTCCTTCTTACTCTCTTTTCCATGTGATTTTGAATTGCTCTTTGCGATTTTAGGGTTTAGATGTGATTGCATTGTTTCAAATTATCGATTTTAGCTAGGGTTCATATGCAATGATATGTTTCTTTTTTTTTTAATTCTTCTTTGCGATTTTAGGGTTTATATGCATTGATCTGTTTCTCAAGCTAACAAATTGGATTTTGATTGAAAATAGGGTTTCGGGTAATTGAGAAGTTTATAGATTTGGGTATTTGAGTTACAGATTTCGGTACATATTTGATCTGTTGTATATGTTCTCTCAATGCATGTCAAGTTCTTTCTGTTTTGTAAGATTGTTTATGCTTTAAACAAAGTCTGAAATTATCTTTAGATGCTTTAATTATTGCTTAAATGTAGACTGATTATGCTATTTTCATGTGAGGGAGATTGCAATGATGGGGAACTGAAGCTTTTCTTGTTGTTGGACAGCCACGACAGGTAATCAAATTATCTGCCTGTTGTTCTTTTTGTCTGTCCTTAAACTATGAGATGTATAATAGTTAAAGTTGTTGTTATGTCTTGTTGTTTTCTTTTATGGCTGAGGTTGTGTAATTAGGCTATAGACAATTTCAGACTTTGTTTATTTGTTCTTGACAAATTTTTTGACTGTTGTTTTGTGTTTAGGTTGAGATACTGTAATTTGTTAATGTGTGTTTACCATTGTCTACTTTCTTAATTTTCTGAACATGATATGAGATTGGTTTGATAAATATTGGTGTAAGAGCATGTATTTGTGATGTGGTCTGAGGTTGATTGAGTTATTGTCTTAACTGGAACACTCTTTTAATTTTGCTTTTGGTTTGAATTGTTGATACTAAGGTTTTAATTAAGCTTAGACCATATAATGTTGGACAAGTCATGAGTGCATCTATGCAGGTAAGACAGTACATTATATAGGTTAGGTTTCATATGGGGATTGGTTATTTTAAGAGTTCTTTTTTTCCTTTTACTTCTTCATTGAAGAGCTGATCCTGGTTATGAGAGAGGTGCTCGGAAATTTGTACGGGATGTGGCTGCGGCGTTAGGTGACATTGACATGATAATATGTCCCTGCAAAGACTGTCGTAATGTAGAACGACAGTTAGGCAGTGATGTGGTAGTTCACCTTGTAACTAAGGGGATGGATGAGGCTTACAAGATGCAAGTTGATTGTATCACCATGGAACGTGAACTCAGTGGCTGAAGGTGAAAGCAGCAATGTAAATGACTGGAATGAGGAAATTTTGGAGTTATACAAAGCTGGATTAGGTGATATTCCAGAGGCTGAATTAGCTGAGATTGCAGAGGGTGAGGACAAGAGAGAAGATGAGTTCCTCGCAAAGCTAGCTGATGCTGAAACACCATTATATCCAAGTTGTTCAAATCACAGCAAGCTGTCCGCTATTGTGACTCTGTTTAGGATAAAGACAAACAACGGCTGGTCTGACAAGAGCTTCAATGAACTGCTTGAGACATTGCCAGCCATGCTGCCCAAGGACAATGTGCTTCACACATCACTGTATGATGTCAAGAAATTTCTGAGGAGCTTTGATATGGGATATGAAAAAATTCATGCATGTGTAAACGACTGCTGCCTATTCAGAAAGAAGTATAAGAAGCTCGACAAATGTCCCAAATGCAATGCTTCGCGGTGGAAGATTAATATGCACAATGGTGAAGTAAAGAAAGGAGTCCCACAAAAAGTATTGCGATACTTTCCGATAATCCCACGGTTGAAAAGAATGTTCAGGTCTGAGGACATGGCCAAGAACCTAAGGTGGCATTATACTAACAAGAGCAGTGATGGAAAACTCCGTCATCCGGTAGATTCTGTTACATGGGATAAGATGAATGACAAGTACCCTGCATTTGCAGCTGAACAACGGAACATGCGGCTTGGACTTTCAACAGATGGATTTAATCCATTCAACATGAAGAACAGTAAGTATAGTTGCTGGCCTGTTTTGTTAGTAAACTACAACTTGCCTCCTCACCTATGTATGACGAAGGAGAACATCATGCTAACGTTGTTGATTCCTGGTCCACATCAACCTGGTAATAGTATGTGGGAAAAATACTGATAGTATGTGGTTGAAGTATAGCAAAAAGCATGTGTTCATGTGTCATAGAAAGGGTTTGGCACCATCACATAGGTATAGGGAAAAGAAGACTTGGTTCGATGGAAAAGCTGAACATGGGAGAAAGGGTAGAATTTTAACCGGTCATGAAGTTTTTCAAAACCTGAAAAATTTCAAAAATGACTTTGGTAATGTGAAAGAATCTGGGAAGAAGAGAAAAAGGATTGACTGTGTTGAATCTGTCTCTGATAGTGATGGTGTATCCAGTGAATCCGAGGAAGATGAGGAAATAGAAGTGGATGAAGAGGAGTTATCAAGATGGAAGAAAAGATCAATTCTTTTCAAGTTGTCTTATTGGGAGGTATGATTAGTGTTTTTATTTTCAGAATTGTTCAATTAAGGTACTCTTAAGTTGGGATCCTTATGTACTGTTTTTCATCTGTTTAGGATCTCCCGGTAAGGCAAAATTTGGATGTAATGCATGTAGAGAGAAATGTTTGTTATAGCATTGTCTCTACATTGTTGCATTGTGGAAATTCTAAGGACGGTCTTCATGCACGGAGAGATCTGCAACATCTTGGTATACGGAAGGATCTGCATCCTAACACACAAGGAAAGAGAACATACCTTCCTGCAGCACCATGGTCACTGTCCAAGGCAGAGAAGAAAATATTTTGCAAGCGCCTATTTGACTTTAAAGGTCCAGATGGATATTGTTCTAATATATCCAGAGGAGTTTCATTAGAGGAGTGTAAGGTAACAGGACTCAAATCACACGATTATCACGTATTGATGCAACAACTTCTTCCGGTTGCACTTAAAGGATTGTTACCAAAAGGTCCAAGGACAGCAATCTTACGCTTATGCGCATTCTACAACCATTTGTGTCAGAGAGTTATTGATAGAGAGGTTATTTCAGTAATGGAAGCTGAAATTGTGGAAACTCTTTGTATGTTTGAAAGGTTTTTCCCTCCCAGCTTCTTTGATATCATGGTACACTTGACTGTACATCTAGGAAGGGAAGCTCGCCTTGGAGGACCAGTCCATTTTAGATGGATGTACCCATTTGAGAGGTATAGTTTAAGTGTACTTTATTCTACAATTTGATTTGTATTGACTGTCTTTGATCTTCCTAAAAGTTATAACTTTGGATTTGCAGGTACATGAAAGTTATGAAAGACTTTGTACGAAATCCTGCAAGACCAGAAGGTTGTATTGCTGAGTCATATCTCGCACAAGAATGCATGCAGTTCTCTAGTGATTTTCTGAAAAAGACAACAAGTGTAGAAGAAAAACCAGAGAGGAATTTAGAGTATGTGAACAACTCTATACTGGAAGGCCGTCCTATATCTGCTGGATCTTCATTTACTTTTACTGAAATGGAGAAGAATATTGCCCATTTAGCTGTCATTCAAAATACTGCAGCCTTGGATCCATATGTCGAGTAAGTTCTGTTTGTTTCATACATATACCTTGTCATTTACACTGTTAATATATCAGACTGATATTTTCTTTTTGTATTTCTCTTTTGCAAGCATGCACCTGCAATATCTTCAAGAATCAGATCCAAGGTGTAGACGTGATGCTGGTTTCTTATGGAATATGCATGCTAAGAATTTTGCATCTTGGTTAAAAAAAGAGGCAAGTCAGCTATCTGAAAGTTATTTTGATTATGTTATGTACTAATAATTTTCTGACTCTCATTTTAAACATTTGGTAGATACCTCTAGCTTCAGCTGAACATGAAGAAACTATTAAATGGTTGGCATATGGTCCCCGATGTAGTGCAAGATCATATACTGGTTATATAGTGAATGGTCAAAGATTTCACACAAGCTCAGTTCAAAAGCAAAGTCAGAATAGTGGGGTTTACTATGAGGCAACTTCTATGTGTAGATCTAGTGCTAAAGATACTTCACAGGTTGTTGATTTGGTATCTTATTACGGGAGAGTCACTGACATCATATTGCTGGACTATAATGTGTTCTATGTTCCTATATTCCGGTGTCACTGGACAGTTAGAGGGAATGGAGTTAAGGTAGAAGATGGGTTTACTCTTGTAAACTTGAATCAAAGTCAAGTCAGTTTTTTGAAGGATCCATACATTCTAGCTTCACAGGCAAATCAAGTCTTTTATTCTAGGGAAGATGATTCATCAAGCTGGTATGTTGTTATGAGAGGTTCTTCAAGAAGATATAGTAAAGAAGATGTTCGGGAAGGAAATGCAGAAATTGGTCCATTGCCAGCAGATGTGAACATGGATGATGAAATGGATGAGTCTGAAAATGCTAGAACTGACTGTGAAGGCATATTTGTGCCAAATGTAGCCTTTTTGTCATTGTTATTTTGTCTTGTTTTGTGTTTTTTGCTGATGTCTGTTTACTCCAAATACTTGACTGTTTGATCTCAAATGTGTTGCTGCAGTTGCTTGTGCTAATTCCTTTTCTTTTTGATGCAGGTGATTTAAGATGGGTCGACCAAAGAAGAAGGGTGGAAAAAAAAGAAAGAATATGGGTGCAGATGATGAGCTTGAATATATTGGTAGTGTGGAGCCGCAGACTATAGCAGCAGAGCAGTCTTCAAATGAGGAGCATCATGTATCAGATCAGGAACCCATCAGACAAGAGGAAGAAGCTGAAGGTGTTGCTGAAGAGACAATTCCAACTGCAGCTACTGATCCAGCTGGAGTCAATGAAGAAGAACCTGAAGGTGAGGTTCAATTGAGTGATGAAACTGAGCCTCCTGCTAAGCGTAAGAGACAGAGAGGACCAACAAAGATGAAGAACATTGCCAAGGATCCAACTGTTCGTGAAAGAGTTGACTACACTCTCATGGGAGAGCCTATTGGTTCTGGATCAGTTAAGCTGGCATCATATGTAGGTACATTGGTACGGGAACATGTTCCTATCAACATTGATAGCTGGAAGAGTGTTAGTCAGGATATCAAAACAGTTCTCTGGAGATCTGTTCAGGTGATATCTTCTTTACAGTTAGAATAGTTTTATTTAGAAAGTAATTAGACCACATTTACTTTTCTTATTATGTTTTGATGGTAAGTGAATGCAGGCAAGGTTTGAGGTTGATGAGGAGTTCCAAAGGATTGCTGTGCTAAAGCAAATGGGGGGTCTGTGGAGGTCATACAAGTCACGCATTGTCAAGAATATTAATTTGGCTCCGAATAACCAGCAAAGAATGAATCTAAGACCAATGAATATTTCTCCAACAGAATGGCGTAAATTTGTCAAACTCAAGACTAGTGCAGACTTTAAGGTATTGACTTGGAATTATGTTAGATAAATTTATTGAATGCTGATTATTAATATTAATTGTCTTTAGGTTGTGAGTGACAAATATAAAGAAAGGAGGAAGAAACAGATACCTCACACTACAAGCCGGAAAGGAATGGTCAGGCTAGCAGAAGAAATGGTAAGCTTACACTATCTTTGTTGTTTCCTCTGAAGAAATATATCTACTCTGAATGGTTTTCTGATTTTCACACAGAAAATTGAGAGTGGAGATCCATCTGAAGTGACAAGGCTAAAGGTTTGGGTGAAGTCGCGTATCAAAAAGGATGGTACGCCAGTGAATACAAATGCTGCAGAAAAGATTGTAAGTTGAAAATATGTTTGACAGTCTTCTTGAATATTTTCCATTGCTTCTCTTCCACAATATATGGATGTTGTTTTACAGAGGAAGGCAGCTGAGCTGGTTGGAAGTGATGCTCCAACAGATACAACAAATCCGGAGGAGGATCACCTCTCTCAACTGCTAGGACCTGACAACCCTGGAAGGCTGAGAGCAATGGGTAGAGGCATGAGCAAAACCAAACTAGCTTGTTTCCAGGTGAAGACCAAGTGTATGACTGATATGCAAGAGAAGCAAATTCAGTTAGTAAAAAAGGTGCATCAGTTGGAGGATGAAATTAGCAGAATGAAGAATCAGGTTAGAAACATTAAGAGTTCCCAGATTATTCATTAAGCAACTGATGTTTGAAATAGTTATTGAATTGACTTTCTTGTTCATTTTACAGAGACATGAAGCTGAAATTGGTGAAAACTCAGCTGCAAGAGTAAGTGATTCCTGCTGCTTGGTTTTGTTAGATCAGTTTTCCCTTCTGACCTATACTTGTTATTAACATTTTGTAGAGTGTAAACAAAAGAGCACACCCTAAGTGTGTGTTGGTTGACTGGTCGGGTTCTGATGATAACATTGGTGAGGGCCGTATTCTTTCTTCTGATCCTGATGACATAGTGAATGACTGTCGTCTAGGCCCGACAGATCTCAAAGTCTTGGTTGAAACTGCTACTAAACCTGATGCATTCCTGTGGAGACCTGCAACAAAAATGTTTACTATTGAGGAAGCTGTTGGACAAATTATTGCATGGCCAGCCTCTAAGTGTGTTCTTGTAGACAAAGAGCTTAATATAGAAGACATTGCGCCAACGGTAAGTTTTGGTCAGCCTGCTAATGAGTTGATATTTTTATGAGCTTTAGTAGACTAATTATCCTTTTTCTGAATGTGTTTGACAGGGCCTAAGAACAAATTCTTTGAACAAATGTAAACTGTTGGATTTGTCTACAGATGAAGTGATTGTTGCTGAGGGTCGTTGGCAGACACAAGAACCAACTGCATTAGTTAATGGTCTTCCTCTAGGACCAAAGGCTGTCAAAGTTTTTGTTGATTCAGTGCAGATACCTGAAACATTTATATGGAGGCCTACAATTGAAATGACATACCTTGAGGACTGCTTGATGGCTTTTGTATCATGGCCTGTGAATAAAGTTGTTTTTGAAAATCCTACAACTACAACTGGTCAGAAATCTCCTCTTCAGAAATCAGCATCAACTGATAGGCCATCAAGCTCTAAATCTTCAGATGAGACAAAGTCTGCAGCCACAGAGGTAAAAGCAGCATCAACAGTGTCTAAGTCTCCAGCAACAGGTTCAGAATCTCCTATCGAGGATGCAGGTGTTCAAAGCTCTCCTATAAAGAAAAATCTACCAAATCCACAATCTCCTCTCCGGAAATCTCAGGTATAAGTTTCGTAAATGTTATGAATTAAGTTTCTTATGTCAAGTCTTCTGAGTGTTGGTTCATTGTTTACATGGCAGCGTCTTAATCCAATTGTTTCCAAGGAAAATAAGAAGTGCAAGTTGATGGATATTACTGGAAAGAAGCGAGTTGTTGCTGAAGGACGCTGGGCTACAAACGATCCAGCACAGAAGGTTCACTTTGTTCCCTTGGGTCTTGATGCTGTCAAAGTATGGGTAGATATTGTGAAAGTCAGCGATGCATCAGTTTGGAGGCCATCAGAGGAAATAGCCATAATGGAAGATGCCCTTGGCACAGTCATTGCATGGCCTGAGGACAAAGTGATCATGTCTTAAGGTTTTCAGTCCTCCTACTACTTTGTTTTGGATACTAAGTAGAACTTGGTCTGAGACTTGTTGTGTGTGTTCTGGATTTATGCTACTAATTCGTTTTGGATACTAAGTAGAACTTGGTTTGAGACTTATTGTGTATGTTCTGGATTTATGCTAGTGTTTAATATATGTTGGATTTCGAATCATTGATGAATCAGGGTATTATATGAAACAGGTTTGGTGTCTATCTCAACCAGAAACAATTGTGATCAAAACGCATATAATAGCATCTAAATAACTGTTAGAAAAACTGCTATGTTAGAAAAGTCTATCATAGCTTTCAAAACGAGTAATTACATAATTTTTTCTTTAAATTAAACGCTATGATATACTGAATCATAGCATATACTGGAGCTATAAAAATTAAAACTAAAGCTTTTTAACATAGCTATAGTATAAACACCTACCATAGCATGGAAAATGACTAATTACATAATTTTTAAAAAATAGAAGATCCTGATAAAAAAGCGTTTAGATAATGCTATGGTAGAATACTCTAAGATAGCATACATATCTGACGCTATTGTATGTGGGGGTTCTACCATAACAGGGGCCTAACATAGCATTTATGAAAACGCTATTGATTACTTATAATAGCGTTTTTCTCAAGCTAATAATGGAGATATTTCTTGTAGTGTTCATCTTATATATTAAAGGAGAAGTCGAAAGTGCTCACGTTCGCTCTCAGAATATGAGCAGTCGTTTTTGCCCCCCACCCTTTAATGAGATTAGATTAGTGAAATTTTCATATTATTAATTCATAAAAAGTAAACAGAAATTAAAAAATGTTAATATACTATATACGTTTTGGTCGTCGTAGGTTCGGAAAAAAATTAAAAAAAATCGGCCCATCATGTAGAAACCCTAATTTGTGTATTAATTAACAAAACAAAAGCCCGTCTAAAATATACCGCCTTACTTGAAACCCTAAAACCATCTATTGTAATTTTCTATAAATATTATCGAAACCTAACAAAATAGGTTTCATAATTGTCGGCTGCAAGCTCCATACATAATGGCGATGGCACCGCGGCGAAGATTATCTCAATTATAATAGTTTAGGTTCACGATGGATAGGACATCGGATTCACTACGTTTAGGTTAAAAGAGAAAAATATCTCCGCTACCATCGCCAAAGAAAATAGTGATGTCTATCTACGTTTATCATCGAAGACTTTTCCAGTAGTTTGACATGGCGATTGTCGATAAAGAAGAACCATCCCTGACGATGGTATCAAACTTTCTCCGGTTTTTTGGTTCATGTTGGTATAGTTATGTCTCTCATACAGAGGAAAACTTGGTTTTGTCTCTGAATTTCAGCAAGAACAGAAACGAGATCGGATTTAAGGAGATGAGAAACGTTAAAATCAATGAATCGATCATGTCAGACTAAGTTGGTTTGGAGACGCTTGAGCTCTTTGGCAGCGATTAGACCTTCTTTTCTCATTTCTTTCTTCCGTCTCCATATCGATAGGCTTGGGCTTAAAGCAGATCTTGATTGGTACGTATGCGTCGAAACAACACTAATTTATCTGTTTCTTGAACCAATTTGGCTAAGAAGATAAAGAACGCAGCTTTGATGAATCAAATAGTAGTGTCTTCGAAGTTACACATATTTCTCTCAAGATATTTGTTTGCACTTACAATAAAGTGGGTTAAATTTTCATAGGTTGTAGAAGAAGGAAGCAACGGGAAACCCAAAAAAAAGCTTCTTTGATTTCCTCTTATATTGGTTGCTTCTTTCCGGTGGTTTTGTCTATGGACATTAGTTTTTCTGTTTTCTTAGGTTTGTGTCGATCTCAAAATGCAGGATTGATAAACCTGAGTGTTCCTGTTTTTAATTAAAAAGGTATATGTTTTTGCAAATCTCTTTATTAGTGGAGTCGAGACATGTCATGTGATAGTATTAATTAGTTAGATGTATCTTATAATTGCTTAGAGTAAGCTTATTTTTTTTTGAGCTTTTAGGTATGAATAAATTGTAGGCTGAAGTTCTGCTAGGAACTCATTCAACGTGTATGTCAATTATGGTCAATTCCGTAAGGATTCGAAAAACGTATGTTTTTACCATCCAATGATGTTGCTGTATTTAGTTTACAATCTTCCAAACAGACTTAATCATGGCTTCTTTTGAGAATATAATCTGTGAAGCTTGGACACATGATCACATCAACACATGGTCAGAGAGTTCAATCAAGGTGAAATTTCTACAATTTATTATTAGTAAACTGCAGTAGAACCAATAATTATTTTTAAACGTTATGTCAATCAATCTGATTACTTTATGAATTTTGTCTAATATGATTTCATTCGAGTTTGTTTCCCATCTTTAATATAAATAAATATATTCTTTTATATATTATTATTTTCCTTTCATATTGGTTTAATTCTTAAACATTCGGTTTTTCGGTATAATTGGTTTTCCGCTCCAATGACCGTTCTTTTCGAACGGTAATGAAGAATGACTCCTAAGTTAACATTGCTATGGTTTCTCCCTCAAAAACTTGCAGTAGATGAGCCCATTCCTCTCATACGAAGATGCCTAGGCGATGATTGTTGTTCTTCTCTGGGATGTAAATGATATAGAACTATTGTAATGGAATGGATTTCATCAATCATCATTGTTTAAAAATATTTGGGTCTTTGTTACCTTCGTTATGAGAGTCTGCTTTTGTTAATCGTTGTTATGTTATAATTGAAAACTTTTGATTTTTCATATTTCTAATACATGTGTATGTAGAGAATATCAGTCCATATCAGCAAGATAGGAATTCTCTGGAAATGAAGTCGTAAGGTGGATAGAAAAATAAAGTCCATAATCTTATGTATTACAAAGGGAAATTTTGCTTTCTTATCTTTGGAGAAATAGAGGTATGAGATTGAACAGTGTACTCATCAAAATTTTTATTTCATTGGCTTTGACTTCAGTTTGTAATCACGTTAATAAACATAGGGATTCAAAATTATGTTTCTTATATTACAAGGAATCGTTTGAATAATGGAAAATCAAGAACTCGATCATTAGTATGTCATTTGAATGATAAGCGATTATGAAGACTTTATGTTTTATTTCCTTTCATAATTAACAGTAGCATCGAATTCGCTAAGCTTCTAAATTAGAAGTTTTCATATTGTTTAGGTAGTTGTCAGCTGTGAGTTATAGGTTTAAGTGGTGCCAACATGCAGGTCTTGTGATCCTTGAAGCTAACTTGGTGGATATGAGGCCATGAGGGAGCTTTGTAAATAAAGCAATATGCGAGTTGAGGTCAAGGGTCAAGTTAAAGTTTATAGGGTTAGAGCATAGTGGTGTATGATGCTTATGTATTGGAAGTAAGTGACATGACCGAGTTGTAAATACCATGTGATTTGAATTCGTGTTCTATTCCCTCACTGAATATGAAGGGCATTCTTATGTGTATGTCAAGCAAGTAAGGGTAAAACTACCAAGAAAGACATATGAGCAAAATGTGTCACTTCAGATTTATGATGGATGTAGGGGTGGATAAGGTGAAGAGTTAAATATTAGTGTTTTAAAGTTTTTACCTAGATGGAGCTTTAGGCATGGTTGAGGACACAGACCTAGATGGATCTTTAATAAACTTTAATTCTCTTTAGTTTTTGCTTGATTGGTTTCATTTGCCCAGTTTACGAAGGATTATCCTTCTTTGATGATCCTCTATTTCGTTGTAAATTTCTCATTCTCAATATCTATATCAATTTTCTTGTGAAAACTTATTTGGATTAGCTTTTCATTAATTAAAAACTACCCTTAATGAATCGATATAATGCAATTAAGGAGTCTACTTGTGCAAGTATTATAATTTTGTTAGGTTCAGAATTACGGTGATGATAAGTTTGGTTATAAAAGTATAATTTTTGATGGTCACGATTTGGTGAATATTGTAGTTGTCAAAGCTTCAAATGTATACAGAGGAGATGAGAGACAAGAGGAAAATCATAAGGGAGAAGATTCATAAGGTCAACCACTTTCACAAGAAGACATGTACCAATGTGTTAGTCTTATAGTGAAGAGTGTCATGTTTTTAATTTATTATTAAGTAATTCATGACTGTAATTCTTTCCATTGAATGAGTTCGACATGTTTACTACGACAACCAATTTATGACCTTACGATGGAAGAACAGATCAACCAAAGACGCCACAATCAACCACATGTAACCACCATGATCGATATTACTATAAACTTAATGAAATTAATATCGGGAGTGTTGTCATTCACAACAAACTAAGTCCTCAATGTATTGTCATTCACAATGACACGGTCTTTGGACGAGTGCATGTTAAAGATTTCGATTTTTATTTTATTTTTTTTGTTTTCGAGATGTTTTTTGTCTTTACCTGTTTGAACTGTATATTTTCTATAGCACGTATGCCAACTGGATAATGTTTCACGATATATATCACCCTTTGCTTTGGTCATTTACCTCATAAAACATGTAAACGAGCTAACGCTCAAACGAACAAATTTATAAATACATCAACGTATTCAAAAAAAAAAATGCCGCCTTTGACGAGGGTCGACGATCTTACCCCTTATGATAGAAATCGAGTCATTTGTGTCAAGGTTTTGTTTTTTTGGTTTGAGAATTTTGGGAGGCCCGACCAGAAGTTAGAGATGATTCTTGCGGATTTAGAGGTTAAACACTACTTTCACGTTCAGAATTTTGTTTTTATCGCGATTTGCCTTACAAACTTTATGCTTATCTTATTCTTATTATTTAGGAGACTAAGATTGAAGCTACTATTACCGGTGGTCCGTTTGATCATGATAATATAACTGGCTTGAGGGAGGACACATGGTACTTTCTATCTAATTTTTTGGTTCTGTACTTGCCGGAGTTGATGAGTAACACGTCCAACATGTTTCGTATATGGTTCTATCGACCAACTAAAATGACCAGCACGTATGAGCGGTCACCAAGTAAGTGTATTGAGCCTGAAAGATTTAGCCGCATAGATCCTGACCGAAATTCCGATTGGTACGTTTTTTGATTTAAAATTTTTTTTGTTTGGTTCTAACAAAACAATGGGATAGCTATACTTTAAATCTAGATACGGTGGGATTTATCGTTTATATCGACCGCCTTATACGGATCCCTTATGTTTCTGGCCAATACGAAAGGGGTAGAGGATGTAACTGTGTCTACTTCGTCTTAAAGAATCATAGGTGAGTTTATTTTTTAATTTGTATGCCAAAATTCATTTATTTATGACGTTTAGTTCTGGTTTGAAAATTAATAGGGGATTGAGATTGAGATATTGCACGATAGGAGATTTAGCCAACTATTTTATGAGAGTATGGGTAAACCGAGAATATGGTCATTCGTACCTTCGTGATCCTGTATTTTGTGTTTTGAGGTTTTGGCATGTTGAAGAGTATAAAGGTATTGACTTATATATATTCATCGTATTTTCCAACAAACAAAATTTAAGCCGGTTATTATCTTATTTTCTCTCATCGAATTGAATATTTTACAGGAAAACCATGTCTCATGAATAGGGTTGGATGCTCTAGATTTTATCTTGACCCGGAGTTTGACGAACTTGAGGAGATCAAAGAACGGTAATATCAGTATTTCTAATCATATATTTGTTGCATATACGTAATTCATATGTTTAATGATCTGTTAAAATTTTATATATAGAGTACACTCTCCACCGCTTATGCTTGGACCGCTACGAATTCAAGATGTTCCGATTTGGATAATTGAGTGATCATGGAATTTTCTACAAATATTATTAATGAGTCTTGTGTTGTTATGGGTTTTAAGGAATGTATAATTACTTATTTTTAGAGGCAGTATGCTTCATCTTTTGTAATATTATTGTCGAATTTTGAAATCTCATAACTAAATTTTTATCATCAAAATTTCAATGTTTCCCGTAGTTTTATGATCTTGAAGAGATCAAGAAACGGTAATATTCAGGGTTTATCATGATATATTAATTGGATGTTCGCATTTGTTTCAGATAATAACCTAGCAAGATTTCTATACATATTACACTCTTGATGGCTTTTACTTGGGCTACAAAGAATGCAATATATTCAGAGTCGGATGATTGAATGGGTCATGGAGAAGTCTACAAAAATATTTGATTAGTTTGGTGTTCTTATGAGCTATAATTGATGGACAAATCATTTATAGTAGACACGTTATGTTTGATCATTTGTAATAACAAAATCGTATTTTAAAGTCAGTAAACTATTTTTGATCTTCATAATTTAAATTTTTTTTTGAAAAATCATCTTACCGCGTAAGGCGCGGGTAACTACCCTAGTACAAAGTTAAAGGATATGTCTCTGCCAAACATTAATAGTGATGCTTTGTGAATAATACTTGATGGATTGGGGTTTGTGTTTGGTTTTGGTTCTTCTAGACCGGTTTTGTTGGTTTTCATTGGATTGTTTGGGTTTATGGTTCAGTGTGTATAGAAAAATTCTGGTCTGTTTTCTTACATTTGTTGTTGGGTTTTGTCTTGTAAAAAGAAGCACTTTCAATAGGTTTTCTTTCTGCTTAAACCGGATCGGAAACCGTATTTTCTGGTTTTGCATAACACCGATCGTTATTGGTTTATGAACAAATGAATTGATGGCCAACCTGAAAATACCACGTCATCTAAACAACGCTAGTAAAAGCACAAAAGCAGAACATATTCGGCACATAAGTGTGATTGTACATAGTCATCAACACGAGACATAATCTAGTAAGCCAAATTCAAATATTTGATTTTGAAATTTTTCTTGTTCATACCGTTGTACATATCTCTATTGGGAGATCGATGAAATCAACCCAAACCGAATCGAAATCGATGGAGATTACGAACCAAAATCAAAATATGATTATGGAAATGTTGTAGATTTTCATATCCGTGTTTGGGATATTTAGCATTATCTAAAAATATATGATTTATATTTAAAGTTAAAAATACGACGATGTTGATGTAATCACCACTACAAAAATGACATGGCCAAACAATACAGCTTGGTACGAAGATGTCGGACATATATAATGCTGATCCGGTAGTGACGAATTCGAATCTGATCATGACAACTGTACAAGTTTTTTCATGAACGAGAAGTTTGAAGAGCGACCAAGACTTGTGATCTAAAATTGTTGGAAATAGAAAACTATGATGATGTATTCTCTATGTTGCTATCCATTAAACATGATGATGAACCAAGACCGTGGTATAAACGTCGACGGCCTAACGGTTGGGTATTGTAACAGCTTTGACCCTACAATCGGTATAAACGTTGATGACCTAACAGATGGATATTTGACGTAGCGGAAGCTTCTAGGGATAGATTACGAAAGTAATCTTGAGTATCAATGGATCTCAAGCAGGACAATCGTAGCTCGGAATTCTAGTGTTATCGGAGATCAATGGATTCACGATAAACAAAGATTTCAAAGACTTCGTTTGAGAATACTCTTCTCAGTACTTATCAAAAGCTCTTTAATTTTATTAATCAAAAACAACCAAATACAATAAGAGGCCTAAGAAGGCTATTTATAATAAAACCCAAAAACCCTAAAACATAGAATATTCTAGAACAATAATTATTTATTAATTAAAATATGATAATAATAGATATTTGGAATATTTCCAAATATCTCGCTGCATCAGGTCTCGCCGGCCAAGAAAAGATTCGTCCTCGAATCTTGTTTCTGCACTGCATCAGCTCCCGCCGGCCAAGAAAGATTCGTCCTCGAATCTTCAGCAGGGTTTTCAGCATAAGAGATCTTCGAAGATCCATCTTTATCTCCAACTTTTGATTCTGTCCGAAATTTGCACGAACCGGATCTGACACGAAATTTGCACGAATTTTTCTTTTCCAATGTTGGGGTCGGATTCCATCCTTTGGCGCCGAGCCAGACTTAGAGCACTTCGGGAGTCTTTCAGTGATCACCTCGGGGCATCGCATCATTCGCCTCGGGGTATCCATCTAATCGATTTAGGATACCCGAGCCCATCGCCTCGGGGATACCTGAACGAGACGTCTCAAGCACCCGAGCCCAATTGCCTCGGGGGTACCCGAGCCAGTTGCCTCGGGGGTACCCGAGCCCAATTGCCTCGGGGGTACCCGAGCCAGTTGCCTCGGGGGTACCCGAGCCCAGTCGTCTCGGAAGTACTTGAGCCCAGTTGCCTCGGGGGTACCCGAGCCTAGTCGCCTCAGGAGTTTCTGAGCCCATCGCCTCGGGGACACCCGAACAAGCCATCCTAGAGTGCCCGAGCCAGTCCTTCCTGTGTACCCGAGCCGATTGCACAAGTTTCTCCGAGGTGAAGTCTTCATCATCACCCGAGGTAAAGACTTAGTAAATATTCGTCTTCAAAGTATCATTTCCAAGCAAGGCATCATTTCCGAAAAAGAAGGATCATTTCCGATGAACCCGGAAATGATAAAGAAGAATCACGAAGTATCGACTCAACTCAGGAAATCTTCCAAAAAATTCGAAGAATAAGGAAACTATCCTAATCCGCGATATTCTACGCCGACTTCAAGATAAATGGAAATCTTCCGAGAATATCGCTGGAGAGGCGGTTTATCACCCCTATATAAAGAGATTCAAGGCTCTCGCAAAGTGGGGGAGAGATCGCTCTAGAATTTACACTACGCAAAGCTCTCACAGCACAAACATCTTTTCTTTTACGATCAAACTCTTGTACGATCAAAACTACTATTTTCATCAATAAGATCAAGAACACCATCTTTGGTCACAATCGTTTCTGTTGTTCTTTGAGAATTCACGTTTTATCGTATCCCTAAATTAAAACCCTAGACAAATCTCGATTGTGTTAGTTTCGACTTCCACATCCAATTATTGCACCAGTCGGATATTGCACGAAATTTGCACATATCAGACTTTCCATATCTTCTGCAGAAAACACGAATTTTGCACAAGTCTGATTTTTCATGATTTCTGCAGGAAACCCTAATTTTGCACAGATTTGATTTCGCCCGGATTTTGCACGAGTCAGATTCTCGAAAGCAATTCCTCGAAAAACCAAATCAGTAACTATGACGTCATCTTCATAAACATCATAGATTGGATCACCAGCAATATCCTTGTAATCTTCATACAAAGCTTATGGCTCGGAAGTTAGAACGTTCGAATTTAACTTCTCAACGAGCAAATCATAAACCCAGTTAACTTAACGCTGGTGCACGATTCTTTTCACTCTTGGCTCGGAAGTTAAAATTATTAGGAAAAACTTTTCACTCTAGCTATTTGACATTGGTATCGGATTCAACTCGGAAATATTTTAAGATAAAAAGTACTTTGACATAATATTCAGTGGATAAAGCCGTCCAGGCATGTCTTACACAAAAAAAAAAAAAGACATAATATTCAGTGGATAAAGCCGTCCAGGCATATTCAGTGGAACGCTATGCATCTAAGAGCAAAAGAAAGGATAAAAAGACATCTCGGGATCAGATCGAATCTTGGCTAACCGGCGAAACTTGAGCTGCCTCGGTATCTCGGTTAGAACCTGCCTGGTCAATAACACCTACTGCGGCCGCGGTGCCTTCGATCGATCGGTTCCCAAAGCTATCATCAACAGAATCCGGAGAAACCGGTGGAAGCTTCAGGTCTTCTCGCAGCTCGATTCCAAGACGGACGTACTCTTCCTCGGCATCCCCATACTCAGCCGTCCATTGAAGGACCTCTGCCTTCTCATCCTCTACCTTTTTCCCTTCCTCCAGCTCGGCTATCAGCTCGGCATTGGCCCGCGCTTGCACCAAGTACATGTAGCGCGTGGATACCTTCCCGAACTGGTCCATCTTCGCCTCGATAGCCTTGACCTTCTCGGCAAACTCCCTTTTGGCTGCCCTCCGTTCTCTGACAATCTCCTTCTCCCGGAGAGCCTTCTCTTCGGT